GCCTAACAGACTCTCGCTGTACCTCGGCTCGCGTTTCCGGTGACTTTCTTCAAGAGGATAATAAATTTCCTTAAGGGACGCTACTGCTCTCTGGACCTCCCCGCTTTCCCTCTTTACATGTAACCTTGTACAAACATGGCCGCGCAACTTCCACCTCCACCCGACTCGGAGGTGGATCCAAAATCGATGGAGATTACCGAGAGTATGTTATTTTCAAAGATCTTGCGAGATGGAACAAAAACTAACTCGACCTGAACTCTAAAGAAATGCATCGAGGTTTAACGGAAACGGCGATTTGAGACGGCCTATAATGAATCTCTCAAGTATTTTCAGTGAACGTTCCCTTTTCTCTCCTGATTTTCGACTTTCCCATTCTCGATCACCCACGTTGAATGGTTTAACAATGGTAGTGATGGTTCGTTGATACAATGCGTTAATCCATTTGAATTCCGCTCCTAATTTGAATATAAATACATACTACTGTGACGTTTGCATATCGACCGTCCAAACCACGGATATATTTTTTCCTTATAATGAGCCGAAGACAGATTTAGTATTTATATATTTGAACGTCACCCTATACCTTAGACTGAGAGGCGTTTAGTAAGGAAGAGAGAACCTAAGCGATAACAGCTACGGGTGCGGAGTGAGTGATCTACTTCTTGCTACATTATGAGCCCCTGATACGACCACGGTACGATCGCGGCTTATTCACTATCGTAAAACGCGGATTCGGTTGCTTTACCGCGAAGTACGAAAGTACAACCGTCCTCGTATATGTTAAGACACAGCTACAGGTCCCGTACGATTCTCGGTACTCGTTACCACCCACCGGTGGGTGGCCAGATCAAATAAGACCCTGCACCTTTTCGCCGAATTTAAGCGTAGCATCAGCAAAGGAACCGTCGGCAGTGGCTATCATTGATGTCAGTCACCAAAAACCGATAAGGCGTAGACTAAACATCTAGGAATGATTTCGGGCAAGATGTTATTGCTAACGCCATGGAAAGAAATCAACCACCACCCATGAAATTTTTAATAATCACGTGGTATGATTTTTTCCTCCTACCTTCGGACCAAAGGTCCCGAATTAGGGGTATAAGTACGCCCGCAATTCAGGGACTCGGGCTAGTTGTCCGAAATCATTAAGAACCGAAATATTGTAGTTGTCGTTAGTTGTTCAAGAGTAATCTAGTTAGTTCTTACGAGTTCATAGTCGTTGTCCGGAATCATTAAGAACCGAAGCATAGTTAGTTGTTGCGAGTCGATAGTAGTTGTCCGGAATTATTAAGAATAGTAGTTGTCTGAAACTGTTACGAACCTAATTATTGTAGTTGCGAGTTAGTTCAGTTAATTGTTCAAGAATTGTCTGTACGCAGAGTAATTGTTCTGTTCAAGGTATTATTAACTCCATATTCAAAATTGTAATTACTTTGTATTTGCTATAATAAAAGACCGTGCGCGGGTCTTAATAATAAATAGTGTCAAAAAATTAATAAATAGCTAATTCCAATTATTCTCCCAATTCTATTTTACGCGTTCGCGAAGTAAAATCCAATTTAATTAATTCCCTCGGCTTGAAAGGCGGAATTTCTTTATTTCAAATATCTATCGTTTCGATTTATGATACCGCGAATCATCGCGAATAGACTTTCAACGCCTGCATCAGCACCAGCACCAGCGTCAGCACCAGCCCCAGGGTCAGTACCAGCACCAGCATCAGCACCGAGACCGTGGAAATTTATACCTATCACTACTCACACTCCATCGTTCAAACCCAGCAAGTAGTAAGTCCGAAGATTTCAGATTTATTCGAAGCCTAGGGTTTTGCCCATCTCTACTCCCGGCCTCTCAACTACTATGTCTCCCTCTACCGGCCTTTTCATCAAACTATTTTTCTTTCTTTTGACTTTGTTCATATAATGAAAAATATAAGAAATAACTGGTTAAATTTAAAAAATTTAGATAAAACTTTTATTTTCCCCAACTTTTATACAAATGAACAAAGATTAGGTAAATTTAACCATTTACGTACAGTTTACGATTTTGAAAAATATTTAATTATTATGAAAGCTTATAAATTAAATTATAAATCATTGTTTCCTAATCATTTTGATAGGTAAAAAGTTTTTCTAGTAAATAATATTTTCCATCATTCAACAATCGCAGTTATGGAAGATTTTAATTATACAGATACTGCCCATTTTTTAGAAATATTTCGCAATTGGTGGTACATTGTGAATAATACAAGTAGTGTTAAAGGTAACAGAAAAGAAACGAATTTTGTAAACCGATTTTGAATATTAAGGATTTTAGATATAAATATTTAAAGAAATTTTTAACATGTTTAGATTTTTGGAAAAATTTGGAAATAGACGGTCATTTAACATTAGATACTTTCAAAGCTTTACATCAAAGTACTAGAGTTCTTTTACTACTCATAGAGTGCTGTTTTCAAACTTTTGACGTATCTTATCTTTTAGCAGGAAAATCTTGAACTAAATAATTAGAGAAACGATTTGGAAACTATAGACTTTTATTTGGTTGTAATTATCATGTTTCATACAATGAAGTAGTTCATGCAGAGAAAAATATTAGATTAAAACATATATTTAAGAAATCGGCAAAAATAGATTTGAAATTTGTGATAACGATAATAATCTTCATGATCTTTCCATTGATGTAACTTGTTTCCTGGGAATCTTTGAAACTGAATTGTATGTTGTTGTGACTTGTGTTGTTGATGATTCCATTAAAATTTACATATCTGGTTATGGGTCCCATTCTATTGCTAAAAAATTAAATTGTAATATATATAAATTATTAGTTGTGGAAGATAAAGGTAAAACTATTGGTGACAAATATTTTGATAGCTTACAAAGAGGAGGCCTTTCTGTTCCTACAGAAGAAGTAATGATCGTATTCAGTCATATATATGCCATAATGGAAGCCATAATTAATGATGCTAACTTGAAGTCCCAATTTGTAAAATCTGAAAATCATACACATATTTTATATAAATTGACATATATTAACATTCAATCAGATATTCATTATTTTGCAATTTCCGATTATGATTAACCAAGGTAACGCACCATGGGAATACCCCTAGGGTGGTGAGGGAATTTACCTGTAACATACTCTTGTAATTAACTGCACAATTCTTTCCTTGGGTAGCTTCCCTTCATCTCTTCCACGTGTTCACTTAACCTCTTTGTGCTTCGTACCAACAATTTTGTCTATTTCACGTTTGTATTAATTTAAAATATCTCTTATATTTTCTTCAAACCACTGTAAATATTTCAAGTTTAATGCATCATACGTCAAACTACTTTCAGAGTTCATCAAATTTATACTACATTTACAGATATTAATATACTTTTAAGCTACTTTTACTTACTATAGTCATAATATTTATATCCCACTTTTACATAATTAATAACAAATGGTGTACATACAGTAGTATAGTTTTCTATAGCACAAGACTCTCATATTGGAAAATAGGACTCTCGATCTAGACTTCAGCGGTGTTGCTACGTTTCTCAGCATGGCTAGTAAGTAGTACTAGAGTCGGCTGTGATACTACATCTGGTAGTGTTCAAGGTATTGTGGCGCCGCATTGTGGCGCTACATGTAATAAAGCTAAGTTCATGTGATAGCGTAACACGTGAAACGAAACGCATCCATGAAAATTGCCAAATGCAGTGACGAATCTGTCGTACAAATAATAGATATAGCTCGGGTCAGTAGAAGTTGGGATGGTTGGGACAAGTTGGCCCTGGTCTAGTACAAATTGATACAAGATCAGTAAAGTAAAATAACAGTCAGTAATGGTCAGTAATAAGTAGTATAATAGAAGTATGATTTCAAAATATTTTTAATTTCTGCGTTAGTTCTGTAGGTAAAAACTTGTGAAATATAATTAACATAGTACTAGTAGCATTTCTTTCACAATATATTGACAGTGTAATGTCTTAATTTTGAATGATATGAAAATCTTCTTATTTGGTGATTTGACATTTCATTGTTGTTTTATAACTCTATTTAGAAATTAATTGATACTTAATATAGCAGATATAATAATTGAATTTCATTGTATCTTTTATAATTGACAAGTGTTACGATAAACATTTTTATATTTAATTAAATGTATAGTGAAAATCAGTTTACGTATACGTAGTATAATTCAATACACGTATTTTTATAAGACCTTATATATTCGTAACAAATAATTAAACGTTTGAACGCGTACGAATTTAATTTCTATTCTTTCAACTAATTTTACTCATATTTTTTAATTTAGCCTAGAATCTGAATTGGAACAAAAAGATATTAGCATGGCGAGTACTTCTTTGGATCAAAGTACTGTTGCTCAGAAAACATGGGAAATGTCAAATAATATTGAAACAATCAGTACTGTAGATGAAATCTATAGATATGATCGTAAAGAGCAACAGGACATATTGGCTGCAAAGCCATGGGAAAAGGAGTACGTCATTTATATTTTTTGACATGTTAATTCTTGTTGAATTAAAGTATTTTTCTAACATCAGTCATATTCATTTTTTTAGCCATCATTTCTTCAAAGATATAAAGATCTCTGCATTGGCATTATTAAAAATGGTTATGCATGCTCGTTCTGGAGGAACTTTAGAAGTGATGGGTCTTCTTCTTGGGAAAGTAGCAGCAAACACAATGATTGTCATGGATTCTTTTGCATTACCTGTAGAAGGCACAGAAACGAGAGTAAATGCTCAAGCGCAAGCTTATGAATATATGTCAGCATATGTAGATGCAGCTAAACAGGTATTTTAAACTGTATTCAGATTAATAATTGTAACAATTTCGTCATTATAGTCTCAATTATTAATTGTCTTATTTACATATATTTCCTTACTATGTTATTCATATCATTAATGTGGGTGTACATATTTATAATTAAACATATATCAATTAAAAATATGTCTGTAATTAAATATATATGATATTGCTCATTAAGGTTGGGAGACAAGAAAATGCTATTGGATGGTATCATAGTCATCCAGGCTATGGATGTTGGTTATCAGGCATTGATGTGTCTACTCAAATGCTCAATCAAAATTTTCAAGAACCTTTCGTGGCCATTGTCATTGATCCTGTAAGAACGATTTCTGCTGGCAAAGTTTGTTTAGGTGCATTTAGAACTTATCCAAAGGTAATGTATATTATTCACCATTTGAAGCAGTGTTTCTTAAACTTCACCATCAGTATCTAATATTTACAGGGATATAAACCACCCAATGAGGAACCATCAGAATATCAAACAATTCCATTGAATAAAATTGAGGATTTTGGTGTTCACTGCAAACAATATTACTCCTTAGAAGTATCTTATTTCAAATCATCATTGGACAGACGATTGCTAGACTCTTTATGGAATAAATATTGGGTGAACACTTTAAGTTCCTCTAGCCTTTTAACAAATGCAGATTACACTACTGGACAAATATTCGATTTATCAGATAAATTAGAACAATCCGAAGTTGCACTTGGGAGGGGATTCATTTTGGGTGGTACAGATCCTCATGATCGAAGTACAGTAGAAAAATTAATTAAAGCAACAAGAGATAGTTGTAAAACTACCATCGAAATTATTCACGGTTTAATGGCACAAATAATTAAAGATAGATTGTTTAATCAAGTTGGTTGTAATACTGCTATTGATGCTCAACAGCAGTAAGCTTCACGCATAAAGAATAATTATTATAAAAAAATATTTGGAATAAGATAATATACATAATGTGTAATTAATGTATGGAAAATTTTTAATTACAACATAGTACATAACATTTTTGTCTTCGTTTCCTTTTTTTATTATACTCATTGTTTGTCTTCTTACGAATGAACATATTACCGAAAAATTGTCCAATATCGTTGACTACTTATGTATTAATGATAATATTCTGAAAGATTAATGGAATAAAAATACAGTTTATTTTCACACCTTGATTCTCTAGAAAGTATATATACAGTATTTGTATCATTATTCAATATCTTCACAGTTGATTTATATATATTCATATTTATAAAACTAATATAATATTGAGAACAAGTAGGCAGAGTACACCCCACCGAAGGGCTGACACTGTGTCACAGACTTTAGGACAAGGCCACTCAGAAACACACCCACCTGTTCTAGAATTATACACCTCCGCATTCATAGCGCACAACATATAAGGGACGGAGCTAAAATGCATACAATTATACTGATAATATACTTACTGGTATGTTATGATATTTATGATCTTAAGAGAAATTCAGGAAAAACATAATAAAACACATTTCTCCACTTATTCAGCCAAAATACTAAATTTTTTTCGTATTAAACCTAATCGCGCTTAAAAAACTATGCGTTTCATATAATATTATTACAATAAGGTAAATTAAATACAATTAAGTACAACTGTACCATAAATTCATTTACATAAAATCTGAGAAAAGAATACTTGCAAGTAGGATGGCTATTGCTACATTTTACGCATCTTTTTTGCGTATCTTTCGTATGATTTAAACGTACATTCCTTGTCAAATATTTACTTTACATAAATTGTGATATAACATGTATAAAAAGATATGATACTGTTTTGAAATGAAGGTTGTTTACTCATACAACCTTTAAATTTGCTAAATTATACAAATTCCAATGAAGTTTCCTCAAACTTAACATTACATTTTACATATCCCAATAAGTCCTATAATAAAAAGGAATGTAAAATACTTTACTGTACCGTAAGTTTTATTTAAACTCGTACCAATTCACGACAAATATTTATGTGTGTTTCTTAATGTATACGTTACTCAATCACAATTTCAATTTTTATTATGAAATAACAGTAACGAATCGCAATTTTTCCTTAATATTCTTTATGGCAATAGTTGAAATGAAATATTCAAAATGATTTGAAGTAATTTTATATTGCAATATAAAATTACATTTTAATGATTTTAGGTACTCTTATGTATACAATTTATATGAGAATATTTTATGACAAAAGAAAAAATTTTATTTAATGTGTGATTCAGTAAACGTATATGCTTGTAAAAAATAAGAATTCAGCCCTATAATGACATCGTATATTCAGAATGCATTTGAAACTGTATAAACACCATCCACAACAGACGTAAATACAGGGTATAGCAAACGTACATGCTACATGTATATGCATTTATGTATTCCGCCCTTCTTGATCAAAACAATTTTTTGTGAAACAAGCAGTTTTTCTACTAATTATTGACACGAACATTGTATCGTAAACAGATATAGTAAAGAACCCTATTTTACACTCTTCATATGAATTAAGTCACTTCAATGTCATTGCAATTATTTAAGTATTTACAAGGCAATCGCGTTCATTTAATACTTACAAATATAGGTAGAAAAGATCAATTATTACTGCAAGATTTAAGTGCTTGTCGTTGGTAATTGGGCAGCAACATTTTAGTGGCAAACGCCTTTCATCAACATATTCGAGCAATTTCATAAACTCTGAATTTAATATTCTCTGTCCTGTATATTTTTTATATTCACTTTTTGAACTATCCTACACAAGAAATGGTACGCTAAATCAGGAGCTCGAAAGATTACAAATTCAACAGATCAAATAAGTGTTGCATATAATATTATTGTTCTATGTTTCTATATTCAATTAGAGAAAATATTTATATGTCTCACATGCATGCAGCATAGTACAAGAGAAATTTTACATTCCTTTCTTTGCATTGAAATTTGTCAACTTCATTCTAGTAATAAATTCTACTAATTCTGAAAGACTTCAAAATGAATATCATACCATCTGCTCAACAAGCGTTAATTTAAATTATTTACGTACTTATACAGGATGTCCACGCTAAAGTGTGACAGTCGCGATATTTCAATAACTATTGATGATATAAAAAATTGTTTACATGTAAATTGCAGGATAAAATGGGATCTCTATTGTGGCGCAAATTAAAATTATTTTATGTTATTAATTTAAAAGATATGATTTATTTTTTGTTGGGTCATGCGATAGTGCTTTCCAATACGAATTTATTAAACTTTAATGTATTCACCCGATTTTTAAGTTTACCTCATCCTCAAACGTAGACCGCGATGGACAATATTTTTCATGTTTCCTACTTTTCAGACCTGCCGTTCCGGACGTAGACTCTTGCTATCGGTTTCAACAACCAGAGTCAAACACCGCAACAATAGGACCGCTTTTATAACTTACCACTCAAGCCAAGATGTCTCCGCAGAAAATTAGTAAATTTCTAAGAGTCATATCTTGAAAATTATTAAAATCGGGTGAACACAATAAAGTTTAATAAATTCGTATTGGAAAGCACTATCGTATATATATATAATAAAATAAATCATATCTTTTAAATTTTTTCGTATCATTAATAGTTATTGAAATATCCCGACTGTCACACTTTAGCGTAGACACCTTGTATAATCAATGATACGATCAACCAATTCGCCAACAATATTTGTTTAAAAATACAAAAAATAAGTATGTATTGCGCTGTTGTCTAAAAATTCAAAAAATATTTCATCATCCTATTGTGTCTAGAAAAAATATTAAAATACTTTCCACACTGAAACATACTTACATAAATTGTACATATGAGAAATTGATATATGTTTGTATGTTTCACAAGTTTAAAATATGGCTCGTGAGCAGAAAAGTACCTTTATGAATGTTTAAAAAAACATTAAAATTCGTTACGAACTTGTACCTTATCAAATTCGTGCTATGTATGAAGAAATATCGGTTTAATCAATCGGAAAGATTTATCTTAAATGTGTTTCTACCAATATGTTTCTTTTTACCCGATGAAAACATGAGATTGGGTTTCAGTCTATTTCAGACTCAATTACTTATTTAGACAGGCATATGTACAATTGTCTTCCATAATATATGTTGTCACTGTGATAAGGGAGGAAAATTATTTACTTCAGCTTGTTCCAAGATTGGTCCTGCTGGTCCAGTATATGAGATACGTAATCTCATTCTTAGAGGTACCTATATTATAAAAAATTAAGTGACGAATGCCAAAATAGCACCAGTATTAAATTATTCAATACACAATTTCATAGAAACTTACTTTGTTCATATTTGCAATTTTCAGTGTTTGTGTAACTTGTCCGGAAGGAGGAATGACTGTGCTCGACGGAGACAACATTTGTAGTTGGAATGTCTGCAAATTAGAAAATTAAATCTGTCGCTATTTGTAATTTATACGAATGTAAATATTAAGAGGTTCTACCTTAGGAACTGCCGCTTGAAACAGAAAATCAGTTAATATAACACTCCCAGAATTCTGAGCTGACATATGTATAATTAATAGATCAGTAATATCTGGTGCTCTTTCTAATTTGAAGGTTATTTTAAGTCCTGCTTTGTCTAATACAACCATGGTAGGTGTGTCTAAAATTACAAAATAAAATATCATGCATACTCCATCACCCAAAGTGAAAGGTGAATATATATTTCGTTAGGTCATACAGACCATTTTGAATTGATGATGAATTAAGTAAACTGTCCACTAAAAAGTTGGTTGTGTTAGTAGGACTGAATACTTGTGTTGGCGTTTGTGTCTGTGGCAGTGGAGATGTAGACGTAGGTGCACTTAAATCCAAACTACCAAGTAAATCCAAGAGGTCATTATTGTTTACTACAGCCGTCGAATTAGTGGGTGAGTTTTTATTTGGTACTGTAGAAGTCATTCCTAAGTCTGTAGTTCCAAGCAAATCTAGAAGTGCACTCTAGAAAAGGCAAAAAAGATTATATTTTCACACTTCAAATCAAAATTATATATATACATTTTATGTTACTGCAAGCTTACTGAATCAGATGGCGGTGTACTCGCTTCCAGAATTGTTGATTTTTCTTCTTCTGGTTCTGGTTCACCATTTACCAAACCAATAATGCCATTAGCCTGTGGTCTCGCTGTTTCCATAGGAGGCATTCTTTCGAGCAATGCGGGTCGTAAGTGATCATATTTTCTGAACAACTGTGAAAACTCAATACCTCGTTGCTGCAATTCAATATGTAAATTGCTCCCAAACGTATCAATTATTTGACGAATTTTTCTATAACGTAAAGACATTATTTACCCCAATAAAAGAAGCAATAAAAAAAGATAATAATCAAACTATTGGGCGATACTTACTCGTTTCCTTTTTGGAATCTTGTACTAAGTTTTGTGAGAGACAACAAGGTATACTGTTTTGTAACAACTGTATTCTGTGGACTCCATAATAACCTCTGATAGACATCGATAACTTCATCTTCTGTCAGCTAATAACGAAAAGAGAAAAGTTATATAAAGCATCTCATTCGAAACAGATCACCTAGTCATCTTCATTAGTGTGGCATAAATACATGTATATGTGTATATATATACACATGTGTGTACTATATACTATATACTAATATATATACATATGTAAATAACATACATTGACTGGAGCATCTATATCTTCTGATGGTGGTGCATACAATAACAAGTCTCCATATTCGCCAATACACCATGTTGCTACTTGGGCTAAAGGTTGTTTATCAAATGTATCTTTTTCTAGTGCTTTCCACAGCGCAGTAACAGCATAACCTTGCTGTGACTGTGTTTCCGAAATTAACTGGATAGTACATGCTACTACATCATCTCGGACATAATTACCAGCCTGAAAAACAAACAAATATTTATGAACAGTATTACGAATGAAAGTACAAAGGAAGGAATGATATGGAGGAGTAAAATAAATTACATACAGCAACAAGAACTTTAAATAATGTTTCGAGATGCCAACGTTTGTTTGGCGCGAATCTCTCTGCAGACATTACTATATTGCTGCTGCATTGAGCTTTAAATTCTGGATCAGCGCGTTCCAAGAAAAGTAATAATTCCTTCATCATGTTTCTAATATTATTAGAATTTACTAGTGCAAAACTGAGTTCCATTGCTCGTCTTCTAATCGACACATCTGGATCTTTCAGACATTCCTAAAAAAAAACAAAGATATTAAATTTAGGACAGTTGAACCTCTATAATTTAAGAAATAAATAGTAGTTAACTCGAAGTTCTAAACAAGCAACTTTACTAATCAGTTACGCTAATACTAATAATCACCTTTCTGAAACTGGAACGACTTTAAACTTAACAACAGTAAAAAAAAAAATATTCAACTTAAAATATTAATAAAGCTATAGTTGTAATTTGAAGCATTTATCATTTTCCTTCAGCTTCAACTTATCAAGGTCTGACTGCATAGCGTATGTTTAAATATTAAAGAATACATAGACAATATCGAGACATTACCAGGATCGTTGAACGATGTCTTTGTACTGCACTTGTGTCTACATAAACTGTCTTCAGTAATGTGTTCAAAGCAACATATCGGATATTTTTATCATTGTTTAATAAAAATCGGCCTAGTATGTTTACCGCCAGCACTCTAAGTCCACTTTCCGACTTTATGTCCATAATAGATAATACAGTTTCGTATAATATTGTGTTGCCGACATTTTTGCTAGTTTCAGTATTAGTAGCAACCTGTGCAAGTATATCATTCATTGCTTCGGACGCATCGATATCGTTACGTCCCAAAATTCGCAAAAGACGTAATATCTTCACTTGAAGGAAAGGATCAGACACTCCAGACACATCGTGTTCTGGGGAATACCCAGCCAGTATCAAATTCTTGAGAATCCTCACGAGATTTGGCACAATCTAGAAAAATGAGTTTGTTATTATTGAGTAAATTATTAATCTTAATTTACACAAAAAGAGTTAAACGAAGAAATCTGAAAACATAATAATAAAAAAGTTTAACATAGTGTCTTTGCATATTCGTCATATTGGTAAAAATCTTGTTTAGTTTACGAACAAGTAATACCTAATACTAAATACAAAGACAGAAAAAAATATATTTTGATATTTTTGGAATGAAATATAAACTGCTAAATAAGAAAGAAAAATACAATTAATAACACAATTTTCTAGAAAAAAACTATCAACAACTATACTTTATAAAATTAAAAATATGCTCAAATATGTATAATATTACAAACAATATAATTGATGAATATAATTACATAATTGCAGCAAAAAGAAGGTACATTTATCTGAAAATTTATTTTTTGTTTTGTTAATTTCATGCAGCTTATTAACATATGTCATATGTATTTGGCAAATAAAAAAAAGTAATACTACGAGTTTAATATATGCAGTTGAACACATTTTTAATCTTATTATAATGTGTCTAGAATGAAGACTACATTAAATATTAAGAAAGTATATGAGTACCTAATGCTAACTTCAACCAACTCAATGCTTATAGACAATTTTTGTACTAAAAATGTAACTGACAATGTAGTCGATACTGACAATGTATTCGATTATCAAAATTAAAATAATTATAAAGGTATAATAACAATGATTCAGTCATATTTCCTAGAAATGGTTTACATTACACTATATCTTTAAACTACATGCACATATTTTCATTTTACATAAGTTTAGAAACTCTAATCAAGCAATTTACTAACACAAGCAATTCAATAATTAGAATGAAAAGATTATATAAATTAAAAGAAAAGAATGAAGTCCATAATAAGCATAACATGCAAAAGTATAAAGGATGCTTGTATGGATTTTACCTCTCGATGGCCGCATTCCTAAAGAAGACAAAACCATACTTATATTATGTGTATTATTATAAGCAGAAAAATAATTAAAAGGTTCGATATTATATTTATCTCACATATCCCAAATTAAATAGTTAAGATTTTCCATAATTTTTTATTAGCATTAAGTATGTAATTATTAATGGAAAATAATATATTGTTCCATTTATTTGTTAGATTATCACCATTCATTGAATTTACATAAAATTATAGACTACATTCCTTTCTATAATTATTCTGTAGTAATTTTAGTTTACTGAATGTGAAGATAATTTTTTACTAATGCTACTAATTCAATGTTCTGGTAGGTATTAATGCTACTACAATCTAGACTGCGACTAGTCGACTAGAAAAACAACATCAAAGAGCATAAATTGTGTTTAATAAACAAAATCTTCTTTGATGCAATGATGCAAAACTTTTTAATAATGTTCAAGACATCTAAATACTCTACTGTTCTTTGTATTCATACTAATACCCCTATTTTTGTTAATAAAATATATAAAGCTTACCTTCTTAAAATGATTCAATGTATCGACACTGTTTTCACACATTTCTGTGATAAGTGTAACACCTGTAATTAATACACCATGGTTCTTTTCTGTGATCAAGCTGCGAGTAGCAGGCAGAAACATTTCCATCAATTCTGGTACACGTCTAATAATTCTAAACGCACAAAGGGCTGCTTTTTTCCGTATATATGCATTTGGCGATTTCATCAGCCTTTCAACTTCAGATGCTAAATCTCTTGCCATTTCTGGTGATGCAATTGCACCTAAAGTACATAATGCTAAACCAATAACAAATTGTGTTGAACTGTTTAAATCACTGTAAAAGATAAAGATATAAAATTATTATCTTCTTCTATACTTGAAATGCGTTAATATTATGGTAGTATTACAAAAACCTCACTTTTTTAAACAATTTGTAATTAAAAGGTGAACATCTTGCCGTTCATCTAAAAGTAACATTGCACCTAGGTAACCAATTCGTTTGTCTGTAAACCTTGGAGAAGCAATAAGTTTTAAACATTCTAGTTGGCCGAAATGGGCTGGATATCTAGAACATTAATAAACATTTATTTTTTTATAGGAATATGACGATAGATACATGATTGGATATAGTAAAAAAAACAATCAAATACAAACCCAAGCATATGAATATACAAGAGCTTTGCAATATTGCGACATCTCCATACACTGTCTTCTTCTCTAAATGTTGAGCGGATATATGCACATTCTTTATTAACAACTGTCCTTTCTTCTGCTGCTGTCCGTGCAGCCCTTATTTGTCTGATGAGATCCCTCAATCGTGTTGGAGCAGGCATTCTAACTGTTGAAACTTTTAAATTACAAACATGTTATCAATTTTAGTGTTAGTAAGGTTTAATGAAGTAAGTGCTGAAGCTATGAAATAATAATCACAATAAAATCTAAATTTAATGAGGACAGCAGACAGCAGTATAAATGAAGTAACAATAATCTACATAGGTAATAAGTAATACAGCATAATTTTTAAATTATTAACAGTATAACATTAAAAGATATATTCAATGTACTGTAACTGTATAAAATAAACATAATAGCCATACACGTAACTTTCATTTTTGGATGTTAATAAATACTAATACATTTTAATATTCGATATAAGTTTATAATAGAAATACCCAATGTGATTACTGATATATTTCAAACATTAGAACATATATATAATAATTATAGTAAGTATTTACATTAAACATTACTACGTTACATTTAAATGATGTTTGATGTACAACTAGAATTACAAGTGAATTAATGTATTCATTCTTATACTATGTCATAGATATAGATATATATTATTTTATATTGGTACCATTACTGATGCCAATCTATTTAATTAAAATATAAATTAGATAGTTAAACAATGCAAAGAATTCCGTAAAAAAAAACTTAAAGGGTAAAATAAATATAATGATAATGTTATAATGATAATGTGATAATGCCTACAAAATATCTGTATGCAAATTAATGATAGCAAGCAGGGAATATTCCATATCATAGGAATTAATAAAAATAATCACTGTCTTATAAATATTACACTTACCTCTTTCCACTGCTTCATTAAAAGCTTGTTTTATGGAGGCCATGTTAAAGGCTGGGTTAAACCTGCAACGTACACACCCATGCTATTTTATACACACAAACTATTTACATACCATTTGCTTTGTTGTGCAATGACACCTGTGATCTGACTTTAATTGTTTTTTTCTTATTTAGGAACGAATAAGCAATATTTTACGTAATACTATACATAAATAACTAATAAAATAATATATTTTTTGTCATTGCAGTGACAACAAACTGTTTCTTTAATCAAACTGTAATAGCAATAACTTTTCTAAAATTAATTAAATATTAAAAGAGAAATATATTAAATGTTTGTACAACAATTATAATAATGATAGTTACTGCTATTAATCATTATTGTTCTTTAAAAATGTCTTTAATGGTAAAAATAATATGTTACCCATGTTCTGAAGCATTCATGGTTTCTCAGCGTAGTTTTCAATTGTACGTGATAAGCTTCGGTAATATGAACGTAGTGTAGATGAATACAGAACATAGACTGTTTGCTTCCTATTGGGAAAAGGTGAGGTAATGTTATGGAACATTCTAAGAAGTTATTTCTAAGAATCTTATAGAACTATTTTCATAATGTAAATTAAATAAAATTAAGTTAATGTTCTCCATCTGACATAAATTGCCACTATCAATATAAATATTTTTATTATGTAAACATCAAATTTTGTTAAATTTGGTGATAAACATTATTGGTGATAAAAACAAAAAAGGTTTTTGTGTAAAAAGAAACCAAATATTAAATTACAATTCTCTATTTTTCTTCCATAATTAAAAGAAGTCAAATTCTGAACAAAGCTGTTTGAAAGATATTATGTTTGACTTAATATGAAGTTGTAACCAAGTTTGTTGTTCACTTTTAAATCACACAATGAAAAATAGTATATCACTAAACAAACTTTTTCAATCTAAAGAAGTCTTTATCTTATTACACATCAACCTTGTAGTTTGAAATCACGTTTGGAATAATAGCAAGAAAGTAAGCCTATAAATAAAACATAAGTTGTAGATTTGTACACAATATTTGAGTTATTGTTATGCATAATAAATTATAAAGAGAAAAAACTATAATAAATTGACAAAAACATTATAAATTAAAGAAAATGAATAAAAAAAGTAATTCTATCTTTTGAATGTTCTACATTTTTCACATGATAATATAACCTCCACAGCAATATTTTGTAACAGTTAGATTAGCAAGAAAACTATCTAATACAAAAGAAATCCATTTGTATTATCTATTACACCATATTATTACATATACTATCAATAGTCTTTGACATATTTATTTTGATCAGTAATCAATCTTATTTAATCACGTTTATAAACATTTTCGTTTAATCTTCAATGTTTTCCATGATTTATTATAGTTTTCTTGTTTATAACTCATTATACAATTACAATAATAAGTATTGTCCATAAATATGTTATGTTTTGTTTGTAAATTTACTTTCTTATTATTACTCCGTACACGATCTCAAACCAGAAGGTCGAAACGTAAGAATACGAAGGTTAAAACTGAAAAACGAAATAAGTTCCAATTAGCGAACGGAGAGTATGAACTTAACGTTCCTTTATTTTTTCTTTTTCATCACAACCAGAAACGTGCGGTAACACATAAAATAACCGGTCTCACAAACGAGATCTAAGCACTCGATCAAAACTGTTTGCGATGCATGCAATGGATATTACCTAGTTCTTTTTTTTAATGTCATTCGATCACGAATTCACGTGTTATAAAAACGCGTCGCGGCCGCACGCTCGTAGAAATCGGCAGCATATTGTAAAATGTGTAAACCGGTTATATAAAGGATTCGTCCGCACTGAAGGGCATCGAACCAAGGGTTAGTTTGTAGCTGTCAAACAGTACCAAAAGTCAAGGTCGTCGTTTTTCAGGAAACTCTCGAGCCCCGAAAATCAAGAGACGTTTAAGGACATGCGAAGGCGCGTCTCGTGTACACCGTTGTCGTGTCGCCCACCTTTTACACGCAGTCGTATATGACAAATACGGCGAGAAATGCCTCGCCTCCCAGGGCGCGAGTCGTGCGCCCTCACTCACTTTTGCATAGTCTCTATCCAGCGCCTGGGTATATCAGCCTGTATTGGTTTGTATATACACGTTGCATTCCGGGAACTCTCTTCCAAGGCTTGATTTTCATATGATCGACAATACGTACCGTGCAAAACTTTGATTCACAACGAAGGGCTAATCAACTTGAGAAAAAACCATAGGCATAGTTAAACTGTTCACAGTCGACTAGCCTATCGCGCGACACACTCCTCGATAGTCCGCGGATTCGCGCACCAAAAGTCAAGATGGCTACATATTATCACTGATGTTGTTCGCAAGAGTTCATTGATTCTTGCCATTTAAGGGGAAAGTCACCAGCCGATGATTACCCCTTCCACTTCTCAGTGTTGCGCGCCAATGTGTTTGACGCAAGCGCTGGAAATGTTATGTTAATGACGATTACACAATTAACATTCCAAAACATTTAACGTATGCATGGTAAATCACATGAATCGCTATAAAATAACAATACTCTGTCGATAAAGTCTTAATACGACAACAATGAAATAGCTTGTGTATTCAATAATGATGCTTTTATGGGTTAAATATACAGGGTGTCCCAAAAATGTTATAACTCCTTGAAAAGGGTGGTTCGAAAATTGATTTGATGAAACAACTTTTTCCTTAGCGAAAATGTTGTCCGAGGCTTCGTTAAGGAGATATTAACAGAAAACCCCGACCAATCAGAGCGCGCGTAGACCGTTAGAATGGTTATATTAGCGAAGGCTACGCGCTAGGCGGCCGCGTCAATGTCTTTCGATGTACGTCAAGTCACTTGTTCGCGTACGAGCGCTCTGATTGATCGAGGTTTTCTATTAATATCTCCTTAACGAAGCCTCGGACAACATTTTCGCTAAAGAACAAGTTGTTTCAAATCACCTCCCGAACCACCCCTTTCAAGGTGTTATAACATTTTTGGGACACCCTGTATTTCTTTACGTTTTGAATATTTCAATGCATGTAATAAACATGTTGCCCATTCTAGTTAAATGATATCCATAAATAATTATGTACACTTAGTACTTCGGAATGTGGAAAACAGTAGAACATGCACCATACAATATGAGAAAACTGTTAACCATTACTAACATATAGAGGGTGTCCGAGAATTAGTGTAAGAACCGGAAATTGAAGGTAGCTGAGATGATTCTGAACCACAATTTCCTCTGCAAAAATGTCGTATGGTGCCACGAGTAGCGTGCGCTGTGATTGGTGGGTGGTTGATCGTTGTTAATTCAAAGACGAAGCAACATCTGACATTCTTGCGAAGGAAATTGTGGTTCAGAATCGTCTCAGCTACCCCCTATTTCCGGTTCTTACACTAATTTTTGGACACCCTATAGAAAATATACAGTATACATTATAAAATTATAATTAGTGGTGTACACATAACATTTATCAAAGTTTTATAAACAATTTGTGTGCTACTTCTAAATCTGAACAGTAGTCATCAATTTTATAAAATTAGAATGTATTAAATACATTTGCAAAAACGAAAGTTAAATTAACTTATTCATTATTTTACATGTAATATAAATTATGGATATATATTTTTATATATCCATAACTATACCTATATTCTATATATATCAGTAGTTTCCACACGTTGCCCATGTTCATTTAAATAAATCATATAAGTATACATATATATTATTCTACAGAGGCATATTTGACTTTTGATTGAATACATAAATTACTTCACTTATGAAAAGGATAACAAAAGTAGTACTTAGATTCCTACAAGTAATACAAAGTTTATACAAGTTAGTTGTCATTCTTATATACATATGTAGATGTACTACTAACACATAAAATAATGAAATAATCATTATTCTTACTACAGTATGGTCTAAAAGAATAATTTGTAATTACATTTCAAATATATACTAATAGAAAACTATACAAATCCAGCCAGTAACCGCTTGTATCGTTTACTTGTCGTTTATAAGAATCACATAACCAAATTAAATGTATTTAATAAAGAGTAGTCTGATCTTTAAATTGGGAATTTATTTAATATTTCTTGTCGAGCTTGTCTTATTGATAGAAGATTGTTATTTTATAGTAATTCGTACAACATGTTGTTAGAATATTATAGTTGCTCTGTCAAACGCCTTTGCAAAATCGAGGAGAAGGGATTGTCAGTGCTAGTAATTTTCCCCTTAAACGGCAAAAATTAAGGAATATGGGTGTTCCTGATAGTACTGACATTTCGATATATCTATCGTAACATTCGTAACCAATTTCTATATCCTACGTATCGTACAATTATTGACATAGATGAACAGAACCACTGATTAATATTTTTTTCTAGAATATTAAATTATTTCGTTTCTTTCTAGCCATAATCACCGATTTCTTATTTGTACTTTTGCATAACGTAATGAAAAATACCGATACTTGTATACAGAGCGTGAAATTCATTCAGTAAAAAAGAAAAGCATAATTGTACAATTCGTTTGTTTCCCATTGCGATAAGATAAATAAATTCTTTGAAATATTTTCAATGATGCAATGGTTTTCTTTTTATAAATAAGACAGTTTGGAAATCTATGTTGAAATATTCACGCATGATCAGAGTGTCATTGCACAATTGTTAAAAATAATAATAGCGTAACCTATAATGTATACACGATACGTTGATATGTGGTAATACAAATATACTTCTTCTATTCGATTCGTGTGAAATATTTAAAGAAAAAAATTAAATAATTCACCAACTATTACAATTATTATAAAGCACAGCAACACAAACAATTATCTTAAGAAATATGTACATACATGCAATTACATGATATTTTCTAATTACATTTTAGCTATATAATAGTACTAATACTATTTGAACAGTTATTAATGATGCTATATTATGTATAGTTTCGAGTGTAGAAATCTAACACAGTAAAATATGATAGTTTTGAGAATCTACATACACGAAATATGTAATGAAAACATATTATTTATTTATGACGAATACGTTTATATATCTCAAGCTTAAAAGTATAAATATTGAACGTTTATATTATAATTGTTGTTCCCTAAAACTCGTAAAATCTACTTGTGTCTGCAGGATAACCATTACAAAATTATCCGAAATAATTAAACGAATCATTTTTTTTTTAAATTATACTTGTAGTTTTTAATTTACAAGTGTATTTTTAAAATTCATTTTTCATAAAAAAAAAATAATCGTCTGTTCATTTAATAAATAATGAACAGAATAAAAAATGCTGAAACTTTTAGGCACTTTTAGTTAAAAAATAGTGATATAATTACATATGATTCATTTATATTTGGAAAACTATGACTTGTTTCATACAAAGAATTAGAACTGTTATGATACCTTCTGTTTAATTCTGGTGGTAGAACACTCCAATCATCAGAATCATAATAAGACCACATGATGCACTAGATCTTAACAAACAATGAATTCAATACAAAGACTAAATTCTAAAATTACAATCTATATATTATCCAGCATGCACTTGTTTTACCAGTTTTGTAGACTTTATCACCAATATAACAGAATCTGTGGCAAGGTGTTGGCATTATCTCTTATCTCTGTTACTACCTTGATAGCAGCAATACAGACAAGTTATGTTACCACAATAAGTGGAAGACTATATAGTTGTATTAAATGAATTTGTCATAAAAATTTAAACTGAATTAATTACGATTACGGTCCAAATAACACAAGATGATAAATTATTAATGTTTATGAATTAATTGCATTGTATAGTAATTATCATTATTGTTAATAATAATTTAATTAAGTTATACATAAAATAAATTATAATAGATAATGAAATTGTTGACAATGCAGTACCAGCATGTTTCTCTTCTTATAAGTAGGAATCATTGCCTAAAAAATTATTTAACTAGTACAGCTTAGGAAACAAAATTTATTGGTAAAAATGTAGTTGTTTTTAAAGTAAATTTACTCATTTTATACATTAAAATACTGTTCACAAAATAACTTATATTGTAAAATAATGTAGGAATGTTTCGTTAGGACAGACAACTGTCATTCTGATTACGAGGTGGTCGAACATCATTGTTTCTCTTGACACAGTCCACAAGCCAGTGAATGCCTTCGTCTACTCCATCCCTTTTATATTATACGAATGGTTAATTAAGGCAACTGTTACAAATAATTTTCATATACTCCATAGCCCATCTCATTAATTTAAATAAATGTTTTATGACTAAAAACTGAACTTATCATAAATAAATATTATTTGCATTCAAAGAAACTATTATCTCTTGTATGAAATTAATAAAAACAGTTATATTAAATCAAAACATAAATTAAATAAAGATTCTAAAAATACAAATGAAATTATTTCAAGTTTGTTTTATAATATTAAGATACATCAAAATCATTAAAACAATATACTTTTTTAGCATGTTACTTGAATGTAAATTTTATACATTTGAAATTAAATTATTTTATTTAATTTTGTCTAAGAATATACATACCCATTTAAAGCAGAAACAGGCATCACCATACAGTCTCTTCGACCAATCAAATGTGCATTTTGATTGAAAATTGGTTTCACTTCTCTAACACCCATACAATCAGGCACATCCTGCTTATTCGCTAGAACTAAAAGTGGCACACCTATCAGGTGTTCTGATGATATAACTCTATCTGTAATAAAATATAAATTTTCCATTAATGAATCACGTAAATTTAAAATGTAATAGTTGTTTTATACTTTACCAAATGTTTCCTTAGACCCAGGTATTTTGTCACGATCGGAAGAATCGACAATATAAATTACTGCATGTGATTCTGCATAGTACTGTGAAAATAAATGAATCTATGTTTTACAAACAAATATTAAACATAATAATGCAATTTTTATCATAAATTTTAATAAACATGAAGAAAAAGAAGTAGAAGGTATAATATTACAGAATATTAAAATTATCATTTACTTTATCCCATAAGGATCGTAGCTCTTCTTGTCCACCAAGATCCCAGAAGTTAAATCGAACACCAGCAATATCAATTTTCCCAATATTTAGGCCAACAGTTGTTGTGATTTTGCTAGGGTTCATACCTTTGTAATTTTTCGTAAATTTCGTTTTTGCCGCTTCCAAATATGTCTGCAAAAGAAAGATCATTGGGACACAACATTACGTTAACAGATTTAACCTAAAAATAGCCAGTATATGATTCTTACCGTTTTCCCGGCATTGTCAAGTCCTAATATTAATATGAAATATTCATCTTTTTGTACAAGATACTTGTACAATCCATGCAGAAGTGTGTACATTTCAAACAATCTTAACTATCCAAAAATTTGTGTTTCATATTGTTTATATGTTACATTCACGAAAACATATTATTCGTCCATGACATCGAGAGAGTACCTTCGACCATATAATACATATACAGTGACTCTCAGAAATATTCGGACACCAGTGTAATTAAAAAAGCAATCGTCTTCGTTACTTTTTCCAATCATAAATCATTTATTAACATTATTAAAGATATATACATTAATCCAAAAATTTACATAAATTACATAATAACAATAAACAAACGAAAGAATACCGCATTTTCGGCAACAAAAATATTCGGACACAATGAGGAAGACTCCTGTGTCGCGAGTGATAGTTGCCGATAAACAGATCCTTGCAGCAACAGAGCCCTGGAATCACAACCGATAACTGGTACAACCAAACTGTAAGACCGACAAACGGTAACGTACGTACATAATTGTATACTTGATTCCCAAAACCGATATTGTAATATAAACTCGTTATTTTGTAACTATATATACAGGGTGTCTCAAAAGTCGGGGAGGAGCCGGAAATGGGGGGTAGCTGAGACGATTCTGAACAACAATTTCCTTTGCAAAAATGTCG